GTCCTCGGCCTCGGAGGCGGAGAGCGAAGAGTCGGACGATAGCGTGCCGCTGGGCCGGCTGGCGGAGCGGCTGCGCGCGATGCGCCAACCGCACACTTCCACGGATTGCGAACCGCTGCAATCGCTCGCAAGGAAAAGATTCCTTCCGGACCGTTTCCGTTCATTCCAGGTACGGTTCTTTTAGATTATGAATAATTTTAAATTTTTTTTTTTTTTTTTTTTTATTTTTATACCAGATTTTTGCGTACCCCAAACTGACCTCTCGGCCTTAAGCGAGTTGAGTTTAGCGGATACTCCGAAACCGACGTAATGATCCCGCTGTTGTTGTTTAAATTGCTTATTGCGGTGTAACTATGTCTCTCGCTTCGTCAGTTACTACGTCTACGACTGTCTCTCTCATGCTTTAGAAAACTCGTCTCGCTAGAAAGGGATCTATATAGTATATATGTATGCTTAATTATTAAAGTTGGTATATAATGTTGCAGGTGAGCATGCGGTCGTGCGAGGCGACCATTCTCCTGCGCGCCGAGCACGCGCCCCCCGACCTGCCGCCCCCCGAGCCGCCGCCCACCGCGCCCCCTGCGCCCACCGCGCCCCCTGCGCCCACCGCGCCCCTCGCGCCCACCGCGCCCCCCGCCTCGCATTTCGATATCACTTCTCCGTGTTTATCTATTGTTACCGATATTCATTGTTCTCCATCTCTGAGTTGTACGACGAGCGGCGCGACCTCTAGTGATAATTTCTTTAAAATGCATGCAGCGGGTGACGTACCGGCGTCCTCCGCCACCGCGTCCACCGCGTCCAGCGCGACCAGCGCGACCAGCGCGGTCACCGGCGAGCTGCGCAGGTTCCGCATGCGGCGGCTCTCCGGGTCCGCGCCTGCGCACTGCGCCAACGGCCCCTCTCTGCTCCATCCGCCCCCTCGCCCGCCCGACGGGAACTTCAACACGCTAACGAATCCGACCACGACCGTCAAGGAGGAAGACGACGAGAAGAAGTTCGTCAACGGAGATTGGCCCTGCGGCTCCAAGCTGCGGCAGTTGCTCGAGATAAAATCTTTCGATGAGGACGAGAAGAAAGCGTTCCAGCTGCACGGCCGGCTCGGCGGGGAGGACGTGGCGGCGGGGGCGGCGGGGGCGGACGGAGGCGACAGAAAGTGCAAGGTGCAGCTGCCGGGCGACTGGAGCGCGTGCGGCAGCTCCGTCAGCGCGGAGCGGGAGCGGGAGCGGGAGCGGGAGCGCGAGGAGATGGGCGCGGCGGAGGCGGAGGCGGCGGCGTTCATCCGGCGCGCGGTGCTCGTGTGCCGCGCCTCGCTGTACCCCGGCCTGCACACCATCCTGGGCGGGGCTCGCGGGGGGCGCGGCGCGCGTCTCTGCGCGTGGTGCACGCGGCGCTACGGGTCGCGCCGCTGCTTGTGGTACGGCGCGCCGCCGGACGCGGGCGCGCTGCGCACGGCGCGACGCGTGCGGGGGCGGCGCTACCTGTGCGCGTGCTGTCCGGAACGCGCGCACTCGCCGCACGCGCCGCTGCCGGACGACGCGGGCTGGTACGGCAAGGGGTACCGCAAGGGTCGCCGCCGCCGCCGGTAGCCGAGCCGCGCCCTCGCTTCTCGCAAGGGAAAACTTTCTTCTCACCCTCGAATGAATAGTGTGAAAATGTGGACAAATGGCTCAATAAAAATGGGAACTTTGACATGAAGTGATAATTTGTTATCGCATGAAGACGACGAGAATACATATTTTAAAGTCCGGGCGCGCACGTTACGCGGCGACGAGAGACAAGAAAAGTGCAAAGTGATAACATTTCTCCATGAACGATCTCGATAGCCACTGCCAGTGTTAGTTTAGTGAATTACTTAGTACAACGGATTAGATGTTAAGTATTTATTTTGTATGCGAGGCGGCCCCGTGCGGCCGAGCTCGACTGTTAACTTTGTGTTATTTATAAAAAGGGAAACAGCACGTACACTTGGATGTAGTAATATAGTAATGTTGCGACGTGTAGAAGCGTGCCGGGGACAGCAGTTATCGCGTCAGTTATCGGGCGCGCTTCCTGCGCTCGCGACACTGCGACTACTCTTACCTCTAATGTTTTCAAATAACATTAAATAAGTTTGTCGTGGCTGTATATGTTTGTATGTAATTGTCTGACGAGTGCACATGTTCAGGCATAATTTATAAATCTGTAGCCATTAACATGTCCAATGATGAATGTTCGCTTCATGATATACAGATTCATACTGAATGAATGAATGGATGAATGGAAAGTTTTGTGTATCTGAAACACTTAAGTGTCAAAATTTGTCTGAAGCTTCCAAAGCATTGTGACGATTGGTGACTAACTTGGTTAAATTATCATTTTTTTTTTTTACATTTACTTTTTTCTACAAATTCGAAAGTCCTCTACCTCCACAAAGCTTTTGATTCGTCCCTTAAAAATGAGCCTGTACGTGTACAATGTACGGCGAGGGATGAGCCGGGTGACGCGCTCCGATTCATTATGTTGTAAATAAAACATTAAAACATTGTTGGTTATTTCATTTAAAGCGAAGGCGAACTATTAAATCAATACATCGACAGCCGCATTCCGGCCTCACTATATAGATTGTTGAACTGGTCGCTGCTTGCTGGTGAACTTCCTGTCGGATATCTCTACTATTGGTTCTAGTTTCAAGCAGCGACCAACCCACTGACCTCAATAATCCACCGGACAGGATACTTAAGGGGCGCGCCCGTTTGATTTTCGCCATTTTGGCACTGACCGTAGCGGTTGACAGCACCGTGAGAAATTAAACCAGGAGAATACTTTCAGGATTATAAGTAACAGATGACGTAACTATTGTAGACGGACCGAGAAGCAACACTCGAATCTAAAAATAGCTGCGAAGGCGGAGCGGATCCTGCCCGCGCGCTCCTCTCGCTCTCGCCCCTATCAGTCCAATTCCAAACGCGCTAGCGGTAAGTCGAACCGTCGTAGAGTTAACATAGACGTATGAACCTGCGCCGCCGCCTGATGGAAACCTTTTGTTTTGTATAAATCCTCAGGTGCAGTTGAAGTGATTGCTAGTGAATCTCTACCTCTGCCGGCCGCTGAGCTGTACGTACACAGTCGTGAGCCTGCGAGTATTCACCGAAAACAAAAAGCGTCACCTATATAACACCCGTTGAGTGTACAGGCAGCAGACTGCAGGCGTGTGTATTCGTAACGCTAATCTATTACATTTTTTTGTGAGTTATTTGTTGATGTTATTTATTATTATCCGATGCGAAATTAATTGATGTTTTGTTAAGTTTTACTTGGTTTTTGTTATTTATTTACTCTCATCGTTTATTATTTTCTTATCTAATTAATTGTTGCTTTGACGGTAAATAATTTTTATTAGTTTATTTAAAGTAAAAGTATATAAAATTATTAACTAACGCATTAACTAACTTTGCGTGAGATACAGTCTTCCGGTACCATTTTCATTATTAGGCTAAGTATTTTATATAAACTTATTGAGCATGACAACAAAAAACATTAAACTTACAAAAAACAAAAAAAATCACATAAACCTCCGATATAAACTTACATCCCCTATTCATTATTGTTATTTTGCACCCTTTAAGATAAAACGTTAACAAACTATGAGTATCATATTAATTTGTGTCAAATTAACATCATAAAAAAAATATATATATTTCAAGTTTCTAACAGTAAGTAAAAATGACAATGCTTCCATACAATGTCTAACTATGCATTTATTTTATAAGTTGCCTTGCTAGTGAAAGCAAAGCGGAGATTTTGGGATTTGCTCGAGCGTAGCAGTTGACACCTTATCAAGTACGTACTTACCACTGGTGGAACTATGTATTTTGCTTGACGCAGGAGCTGATCGACGGAGAAGATGCGCGTGCGCGGCTCGTGGCGGCGCTGGGGGGCGGGCGCCCTACTGCTGGCGGCCGCAGTCGCACTCTTGCCACGCGTCTCGCAACACTGGCGCAACTCCGCGGACTTCCCGCTCGTCTCGTCGCACGACCTCGCCCACTACCTTGCAGACTTCACCAACCATCCCAAGCTAGACCCTGAAATGTCAGCCGAAATCTTTACACTCTCCCTACAAATTTTCATCATCATCAGTTTACTTTATGTACGTGCCCACTGAGGGGCTCCGAGCCTGTCCTAAGTTAGGGGTGACTAGGCCATAGTCTGCCACGCTGGCCCAGTGCGAGTTGACTTCACACATATCTTTTGAATTTCTTAGCAGTTATTTGCAGGTTGTATCACCATTCTTTTTTTTTCATATGAAATAATAAAATAAAAATCGAAAAAAGATATTGGTACATGGCGGGATTCGAACCCAGGACCTGCAGATTACAAGTCAAGGACCCTAACCATTAATTTACGCCAACCATTACGCCATACAATATTTTCCGAATTGTTAAAATGTCAGTACGTTTGTGTGTATAAAGCGAAGCGTGGTCGGTGGAGGAGGAGGAGGGCAACTACACGTGGTGGCGCTATACGGTGCGCTACGAGTGCGGCGCGCGGTGCTTGGGGCGCGTGCGAGTCATGCACGCGGCGGGCGCGACCAGCGCGGCGGGTGCGCGCCACGGCGCCGCCGCCGACCATCACCTGCGCGTGATGGACTCGCGCTGCACGCGTGTGCCGCTGCTGCCATGGCCCTGGTTTTGTGGTAATTACGTGTTTTCATAACTTCAAAGGTCATGTCTGTACTTCTGAAAGGACATTGTGTCGTGCGTATAATTCAAATAAAAGTTTATGTTCTTGCAGTCATTTTCTTGAGAAAAAAAAAAAAAAATGAATACTGTAGCCTGCCTGCCTACACAAGCAACCCCGAGGCTCCCTATTTAAGACCCCTGTGTGATAAAATGGAAACGAAGGTACCCATATAAGCCGCTCGCTCATTAATCCCAACAAGTCAGGCTGTAGGCGCATAGTTGTCGTTAACTTAATACGAATAAGACGGCTAAATAATAGACTAAAACTTAAGTTTTCAACATTATATATGTAAAAAGTGGACATGTCACGCTTCCAGATAAGTATAAATGTGTTACATTCGAAATTTCAGAGGAAATCGAGGTCGAGATGAGTATAGAGCAGGAAGGGAGCGGGGCGAGGTTGCGGGAGAGCGCGCGCAGCGCTTGCAGCTTGCCCCTTGCACTGGTCGGTCGCTGCAGGATGCGCGAGCGCAGGGCGGCCGCTCTCGCCGCCTTGCGACGCGCACTATAGTCCACTGCGCGGCAAACAATAACATTGTGTGTGATGAAAAAATAAAATTATTAGAAAACAGGAATTGAAGTTTACTTTATTTCTCTTTGTTTCAACCATACAAAATTATGTTTGTTGTAGTAAGTATACAACGAGCTCTGAACAATTCCGCCGCAGAGAGGGTTGTAATGAATAATACTTTCTATTCACAATGCTATTTAATCATCTGTATTCATCAACAATATTGCAAGACGATTGCACCAAATCAAATATAAATATAATTATATATATATATATATATATATATATATATATATATATATATATATATATATATATATACTAGCGGACCCGACAGACGTTGTCCTGTCTACACGTCTTTAATTCGAATATTATTTAAAATTTGACACACGTTGATTTTGAATGTAAACATTCCAAAATCAACAACTACTAATAAATTAAAATTAAAAATTAATTAAAAAACATTGTCCACCGGACCAAATTTTATCAAAATCGGTCCAGTCGTTTCAGAGTTCAGTGACATACACACTCACAGAAGAATTATATATATAAAGATTATTATATACATACAATATCTCAAACTTTAATATAAACAACTTCAAAACAATTTTTTTTTTTTTTTTGTTAACGCGGGGAATGCGTTTATGCACTTCGCCGTCCGTGCTGCGGGGGCAGCAGGGATGGTTTCGTGTGGGACTCCCGGCCTGGGAACAAGACCGGACTACCCACTAAACCCCGCGGTGTTCTACGCCCAACCGGACCGTGGCATCTACGTTAGTTTATCCACGGCCCGGCTAGGGGGGAGCCCCTTGGTAGGGGCTCGACTCGTGTAGGGAGGGGTCATATCTTAGACCCCTCCCATCACCCTATGATGAAACCCTCCTCAGAACACGAGAGGAGGGCCATCCGCCACAATCGGCGCGACAGGTCCCCCGACCCGTCGCGCGTGGCACTCTTCAATTTGGTTGTAGGGCTGCCGCGTACCTCGCACGCCGGCGGCCCCTCGCTGGAGCCCTGCGGGGCGGCAGCGTCTCGTTGGCGCGTTCGCGCTCCCGCAGGGGCTCTCTTTTGGCCGCCATCACCTCGCGTGCGAAGGAGGCGACGGCGGCCCAGCTCTGCTCGCTGCCGACCATCGCACATATGACGGCCGGCAGCGACAGATCTCGCCCTATTGCGCCAGTGAACGTGGCGCGTTGCGCGTCCCAGCCCGTGCACACGGCGAGCGTGTGCTCTGCCGTGTCCACGTCGCCGGACGCGCAATGGTGGCACTCGGGACCCGACTCAATCCCCACAACTTCACACAGGTAACGGCTGAAACAGCCGTGCCCTGTGAGAAGCTGCGTCAGGAAGTAAGTCGGTTCCCGGTGCCTCGCCTCCACCCACTGGCGCAGGACGGGGCGGACGGCCTCGATGAGCCGTCTGCTCACCGAGGATCGGTGATGTCTGGTAGGTAGATAGATTAAGATCCAATAAAAATAAATTTAATAACAGATTAATCCTAATTTAAAATCCAAAATAAAATAAAATGAAATAAATATTTACAGTTTAAAAAGCAAATTAAAATACAATTAAATTACACATTAAAATACAATAAAACAATTTAAAAACAACTAAAACTACTATCACAGATTTTGGATCTTATTTCTATTTATCACAGTTTTGGCCAAGGATCGGCAATATTCCACGAAGGGTCCACGTGTTCGTTTGTTTCTTACCAAATTTTCCAAATTTTCCAAACAAATTTTTTCCTTCAAATTAATTTCGATTTCAGTCTTTTTTGCTGCGAACACCGGACACTCCGTGAGTATATGCAGCACGGTTTCACCCCGCGCTGGTTCACACACGCAAGAGGGGTCCTCCTTGCACTTGAATTTGTACAAGTATTCGGAGAACCCCCCGTGACCAGTTAAAACTTGAACCAGCACGGGGTCCAACTCCAGGCTCCGGATCGTAGGGTAGGCTGCTACGGCATCAGGGAAGAAGAGCTTCGTTGTTGAGGCCGTGACTCCTTCCATATAACGCCTGTTCCATTTGTCAAGCGCGTCCAGACGAATCTGTCGCTTGACAAATGAAACAGGGCACCTTTCATAATTAGGCTTGGTATTCATCCCGACTGCGGCCGCCTTCGCTAGTTCGTCTGCTCGTTCGTTTCCCTCCAGCCCCGCGTGCGCTTTCACCCAAAACACTTTCACACTTTTCCCTTGCTCTCTGGCTACTTTCAAATCTTCCCTTATGCTCTTCGCGAGGGGGTGGAGAGAAACGCCGCTTCTCAACGTTTCGAGTGCTGACCTAGAGTCGGAATAAAGACCGAACCTCCTTTC